GCTTTTCTGAGCACTTGTTTCGCAAACTGTTTGCCATTCAGTGATCACAACTCCAGACACGATGTCCGACAAGATTAAGAAAATGCAGCGACAGTTGACTCGGAAGAAGGCGGTGGAGCTGATGGCGACGACCAACTACTCGGCGGCCATCGACTGCTTCGACATGTGTGCGGCCGAAGAGCCCGAAGACTTTCGGCTGTATGTGAACCGATCGTATTGCGCGCAACGGTTGGGTCGGTTGGCCGACGCCCTGACGGACGCCCGCACTGCCGTCCAGTTGAACGACTCGCACATCTCCGGCCATTACCGCAAGGGTTGCGTCTATTTGGCGTCGAAGCTGTTCCGGTCGGCCGAAGAGTCGCTGCGAATGGCGCTCAAGTGCGACCCAAACGACGCGAGCGCTCTCCAGAAGATTACCGAAACGCGTCGACTGTTTCTCCAGGAGTTGGGATTTGGCGACAGAGAAGTGGAGGAATATGTGAGTCAATACGAGTCGCTGCAGGAGTTGTCGGACGCGCTCTTCGCCGGTCGGTTTACGCGAGTGACGGCCGTTGACATGGAGTCGCAGTTCTCGTCGGAGTGGAGCTCAGAGTCGGTGAGAGGTGTGACCGCCGATGACTTACTCAACTCGATGTCCGACATGAGTGTCGACTCGCAGTCCATCGCCAACTCTGAAGATCTGTTGGATAAGGAGGAAGAGGAGGCAGTTAGGGTTTCGCCCACAGACCTGATCCGCTTCGATGGCAAACTCAATGGCAAACACGAGTCCAATAACGATGAGATCCGGACCCCGAAGACGAACCCCTTTAAGAAGAGATTGTCCGTTGAGCCCAAAGAGGACTCATTTATTCCTTTATCTGAGCCTTTGGTTGACGTTAAGATCCCGGAGCCTATCGTCCACATTAAGGTCTCAAAGGAGTCGCCCGTCAGCGAGAAGTCAGTGGATTCACCGAAACCTTTCGATGACCTCAATGTGGAGGTCAAGAAGTCGACCACCAAATTAGTCAAGACTAGACCCCAGATTAGATTATCGGCCAAATAGTTATTTTCATTAATTTTGTAATCGGTTTTTTGTTTATCATATCATTGCAATCCTTTTGTCATTTTTATAAACATTTAGTCATAAAAACAGTATTTTGACATTAATTAGTTTGTAAATTAGAAAATATGTCTTTTTATGCTATATTCATATCATATCATTATTATAATGTTTATAATAATGAGATTAAAAATGTTGATCATTTGATTTTTTGTGTTACCGTAAAACATTTCACTCTATTTTTTGTATAATTCAACTTTGGTTTAATACTTAATTGTGTTTGTATTATGAAATATTGTTTTTTAAATAATTAAATAATATTAAAAATTGATTTTTGTACGAATAAAAAATGTTATAATAAAATGTTTATTGAATAGTAAACCTGTGTTTGAATTTAATTACTCCATGAATGCGCCGATCGATTGAACTTTGTTTTAGCATTTTTAATGTAATTTGAGTTTTACGACTACTTTTACAGCGAATTGTAGAGAATATAGAGAATACTGTTTCTCAAACATTATAATAAGGTTTCTGTGGGTTTTATACGATATATGATCTGGTATAGTTTTACTTGTTTTTTTAGATATCGCTCAGACATCGGAAACTTACCCGGAGTTTGAGCTTTGTCTACAATTTCAAGAAAATCTTATTTTGACTGCAGTTTTGTTCATTCATTTTGCACTTAATTATTTCACAAGAATCGCTGTAATAGTGATGTAAACCACTGAATAAATTCTTTGTGTCACGAATAAGATCAATAAAATGTCATTGAAATTACGGTAATTGTATATATTATTATTCTAGGTAATATTCTATAATACATTTCATTGTGCCTCATATTTAATTAAGTTTTTATTTATTTACACAGCATTTCATTTTATTAAACGCAAAAAAGTAATATCTATTTAATTTCTTTAAGTTTTCGTATTTATATCTTTTGAACACAAAAAGTGCTTCAATTTTCGTTACTATTTATTATGAAAGCCTTCGCTTATAAAGTTATAAATAAATAATTTTTGGTTAATAACGTTGACTCTCGCTATTCACAACTAATTTAATAACTCATGCATTCACGTGAAGTGTATTTCCAAATGCTGTATATTTTAGCGAAATATGTTTTCATCATGAATTAAGTGCTTTTTGTGTAGAAATATGTGAATTCAAATGTTTTAAAAACCTTGGTTTCCAATATGACAACTATTTTCTTACTTACATAATACACACACGAATGTTGTGTTAAAATAATGATTGCATAATTAAGTGCTAATTGTCTACAATATATTTTTTGTTTTGTGTGACTATTCAACGAAATATTGATTTTAAATTATTTTCAATTCTCTGTAATCATGTATTCAATGCTATCGCGAAACACATCCAAACGTTTAAAGTGAAGGTTTGTATGAATGGACTGAATGTTAATCTTGTTTTCTAGGTTGAGATGAAAAGTTATTCTTGAATTAGATATCAAAATTTATTTAATCATTTCGTTTCCCTCAATAACAAGTTTAGACTAAATTTAATTTTCTCTGTAATATAATAATGTGGACTATAAAAATAAATATGATTTGTGTACAGTATGGCATAGTGTAATATATTTTTATACTACTTTTTGTGGTAATAAACAGAGAAAATAGTTGTCATATTGGAAACCAAGGTTTTTAAAACATTTGAATTCACATATTTCTACACAAAAAGCACTTAATTCATGATGAAAACATATTTCGCTAAAATATACAGCATTTGGAAATCTCTCTCTCTCTCTCTCTCTCTCGCTAATAATATGTACGTTTAAGTCAATTGTATGGTTTGTATCATAAATATTAAAATGTGTTTCTCGTATCGATACAAACAACAAATGTTAGCGCATATGAAAAGTGCATTTATTTTCTCAATGCATTCAACTTTTTTCATACCACACGCCAACTGAATCTAAATAAAAGTCAATAATATTTCGTTACAAACGCTATGAAAGTGAAAGTAAAATTATTGCTATTATTGCTATAAAAGGCTTTCACTATTAATGGCTCGCAAAAAGTTTTTTGGACTTTAAGCAGTGAAGTGAACTACAATTTTTAGCCTCGTTTTCCACAATTATAATCCATTATTGACTTATGGTTTTGAGTTCAAGAATATATAGACGACACCGAAAGTGCTGTTTATATCGCTAAACACCACCAAAAAGGCCATAGTTTTGAGAAAAGTTATGGAAAAATCGAGAAGTACTCAACATTTTCTATTTTAGACATCATTCAAGTGCTTTCACATCCCATTCCTCATTACCATTAGACTAATAGTATGAATATTATTATGAAACAACTGTCATCAATGAAATTCAATGCCATTTATATAATAAAATAAAACCTAATAAAATAGTTTTCAGATAAACGTAAGATATATAACAATTAATTAAATTTTTAATTATTTAATAAGGAAAGCAACCTATTAATTAAACTCGAATAAAATATTGATATCATGGATGTATTATTCATGTAAGTGAGTAATGCAAAAAAAATGTTTGCCTCATATTAAATGCTTAATTAATTTTATAATATAATGTGTAATATTAGTAGCGTTTTATTGTTATCCGATCGATACATAGGGAACCGACGGTTCATTTGGATCACTGTCTCAATGACACCGACACTACTTGTAGTACTTGTGACTTGTGATGACATTTATGAAAATATGGGTAAATATTTTTTGTATTATTTTTTTATTATTTTTGTGACATAACATTAACCAGAATTTATGCGATAAAAGTGATATTAAATTTGTCAAATGTTTAAGTGTTTTTAGTAATTATTTTTCTCTAATTTTTCAATCTCGTTCATATCACTGTTTATGTTTTGATAAATAGTTTACTTGATAATACTAGTATGTATGTATGTAGCAAATTAATTTAAATATTTTCAATGATAAAATTATGTTTAGTAATAATGAGTTACTATTGATTCAGCCAGTGAATTATAGACTTCATAAGGATTCACTTAAATTTAGATTTTTGTTAACTTTTTTATTTTTAAAATTTTATTTGTAAATGCTGTAAATACTATTTGAATGTAAATATACTGCAAATTATTGTGTATAATTAATAAAGATATTAAAATAAACAGTGTGAGTTCAGTGCAACACCTAATGTGCTAATTCTTATGCCTAATGTCATAAACTTAATTAACTGAATAATTATATAAATGTGAACGACCACCCTGTGCACTTATATTCATTAACAGGTATAATTTATTCAATACATTGTGTAATTTATAAGTAGCTGCACCAACATCAAATCACGAGCTCTATCACCCTATGGTATACCAAAATATTATAGTCATGACATATATTTCGATCTCTAATATGTAATATATACGTAAATTTACTCTAATTATAATGATATATTAAGTTTTCAAAGATGTGGTATATTAATTATACAGTATATTATATTGGATAAATGACAAGGCTTAAATGATAATAATGATTAATTTGCAATATTATAAAGTACATCTATTACTTTATTATTTTAAATATTAATATAAGATAGTAAAAGTTATATAAAAAGCTATATATTTATATAAAAATTACTTTCATAAGTTATGAATCACAACTAAATAGGCCGGTGTTATCACTAGTTTTAAAAACCAATTAATATATACCTCCATTTAAATAGGAAATTTTAAAAATATCATACCTCGGTAAGTCATAATTATACAAACAAACTGCCAAAACATAAAACAATTGAATAATAAATTTTAGAGAATTTGAGAATATAATTAAAAATTGAAACTTTCATAAAAATATAATTTGCATGATTAATTTCTAAATATACAATTAAATTAAATATTGAATGTGAATGACCATACAGAATTATTGAATATGTCTAATGTGTTATCGTTCACTACAATTTAATTAACATTTAACATATTTAAGCAAACTGATATTTATGACATAAACATGTCAAACATCTCGATATTTATTTAAATGTCACGATTTAATGATTATTTTCACCAAAAATAGCTTTCGGTCTACAAATCAATTCTTATATTCTGTTATTCACTGCTAATGCAAACCATTTGTACAAAGAATTTGCAGTTAGATATAGATGTTTACATTTACATGAATAGACGTTACATTATGTTTGCTATAAAAACAAGTACACAACAAAATTAACTAAAATTTAAGGCAAATAGTAATAAAAGTATAGTATTAATAGTTGTATGAAAATAATTTATTAAACTCTAGCATTCATTTTCTTCTATTAAAACCAAATATTTATATTTACGTCACTATTAAGCGATTAGTTTATTGTGAGTGTGTATTACACATAAAATATTGAATTACTTTACCAAAAACCATAACATAACCAACTAGAAATTTATAAATAAGCTATTATATCAAATATACATTTCCAGTGACTTTGCAATGAATGACAAGTGACTTAACTCTAATGCATAGGATTGTTGAGCGCGAGTGGAAAACAATTAATTTAAATGATTGTGTGATTGTATTGTATTTTAGAGACCCAGAAATGAGAGCCAATTATGATATGCCGACCCATAGTATAAGGAACAGGTGTTAGGAATCTATGAATTCATACACAGATTTAGGTATCGGACTCTAATGGCAACACCTATTTTCGCTGATAAGATTAGACCAATTGTTTTATTTACAATATGTTGAGCAACTTAATAGTGAGTACTAAATAATTGCCATTTTCTAATGAAATTTATAAATCTCAATAGTTTTCATAATTCGTTGATTTATGAACACGTTTTTATTAGAATTGTTCTTGTTTAAAACTAAAGTTTGTGATAAACTATTCGTGCAAATATTGATTTTTTCAGTCCTATTCATACGAAGTCTAATGAAGTGTGACTTTTAGCTCACGTTTTCACTCATTTATATATTTTCGATATTTATTACACTTTTTCAATCAATAGTCTGACAAACAATATACTCGTATATATGTATTGTACTTATGATTGCATTTTTACCACAATTGCCAGAAATGTGTCACTCCGTGAGCCATATGTACCCAACAATTGAATGAGAGGTTGCCCTGTATTTGGAGTTCCTTTCACTGGATGTTTCAGTGCATTGAATTGGGAGTCAATACTACATAAGCGCACATCACATCCCAATACACGTCTCGCACACAGTTTTATTGGTGGGCAATAGTATCGCGACAATTGATATGAGACTCATATCCCGGAACCGTTATCGCAAAATTGGTGTCGGAGTCGTGTTCACCATATTCTTGGTGTTCGTGTTGAGCCAAAGCCAACAGTCGGCCAAAAGTCTTCTTAAACAGCCATTAAGTGCGAGTAAACCGACCGATAAGGCCTGGGAGTGGAGTCCAGAAAAGTTGAATGAATTCATGCATTTACTCGACAAACACAAACAACAGCCCATTCATAACACGTCCGTCCAATTAATTGGATCCACTATTAACGCCACAAACCAAGACAACAAATTACATTTTCCAGCTCTTAGTAAATATTTAACTTATATTAGCGACGAGGAGTCGGCGCTCATACCCGGCTATGTCCTGTCCCGGCGGCCCATCAATAAGCCAGGTATTGATATATCATATCATATATGATATGCGCTTACTATCAGCGCTAATCAGCGCCTTGATTTCACTCATATTTATTGCATTTGCGATAATTAGTCACAAATTAATTATATTTCCAAATGTTTGTTTGATAGCATCGATAGTGATAGGAGTGCCTCACATACGAAGGTCTAAGGAGTCATACCTTAAGCTGACGCTTCATTTTCTCATTAAAAACATTAAGCCGTCGGACCTGAACGACACGCTTATCATCGTATTTATCGCCGAAACTGATATGAATTACGTGATGAATACCACTCATATGATTGTCCGCCACTTCGACGACTACATCTCGTCCGGTGTGCTAACAGTGATGAGTCCGCCCCTCAGTTATTACCCGGACTTTGACAAACTCTACACCAAACAGACATTAGGCGATCCCCTTAAACGAGTCCA